TTATGTGATAAATTGTATAAAGTTATATTATAATTGACATAGAACTATATAGTTTATGATGACAAAAAAAAAGATGACAAAAAGAACTATATAGTTTACATATATGAATTTATAGGATATACATTTTATAATATGATAAATTGTATAAAATCATATCTGAGTACAAAGTTGATAAAATGTATAAAAAGTTATACTAACTTTTATAATAAAATATTGATTAAAGATTTTTTTTTCTTTAGTGTATAAGCAAATAATTATTTGAAAAATCATAGAGAAAGTAATAAAGCATGAAACTTACATTGTAGTTTACGTGTTTTGGATGATATGATCATTTGTAATGTTCATGTCTCTGAATAACATGAATGTGAAGAAAGATTTAAGTACATATGGATCCACAAGAGGAAACGTCATAATCGTTGGTCTGCGCATATAAACTAAAATTGTAAATTAAAAAACCAATAGAAAAATACATGTGAAAGCATTATTCTCCTTCTAAGCTCTAACAAACAAGCATTAAATAGAAAGACAATACCTATGAACATATTTAAAAAAGTAAGAATTAGAATTCAAATAGATCTACGATTAATCAAATCATATAGAAAGATAAAAAAATTTACATGCATCGTGGTGAAATCGTTATAATAGAGCATCTGCATATAAACCAAAAGAAAAGTCAGCTCTAATGTGATGAAATATGTATATATAAAAGCTTAATGATATAAAATAACAAAAACAGTATCAACATAAAAAGTTCAGAATAAAAAGTTTAGTGGTTTCGTTTCTCCTACTGTGAATGTCTTATATATAGTAAATTGGTGGACGTTTCTCAATGATTTAACTTGCATGATAAGCTAATAAATATAATATTCTCTAATAAATTATTGAGAATATTATATATTCTATACGATTAATCATATGAGAAACTGTATATAGAAACTATATATTAGAATGTATATTCAATATTAATAAGGTAAATTAATAATAACAAACATCCTAATTAGATACAAATCGATAAATCGCACTAAACAATGTAATCAATATGATATCAAGAGTGAATTGTTTTCCGTATTTGTAATAAGGAAATTTATTAATACATATTTTATTAATTTATATTCTTGCGCAAGTAATATCTAATAAGGAAAATTAATTAATACATGTATTAATTATTGTAAGGNTTAATAATAACAAACATCCTAATTAGATACAAATCGATAAATCGCACTAAACAATGTAATCAATATGATATCAAGAGTGAATTGTTTTCCGTATTTGTAATAAGGAAATTTATTAATACATATTTTATTAATTTATATTCTTGCGCAAGTAATATCTAATAAGGAAAATTAATTAATACATGTATTAATTATTGTAAGGTTAGTAAATTATTAGTGATCGACAAAATAATATTCTTGGCTTAATTTCATTATTGTGCAAGTAATGTAGTTTTTAAATAAAGTAAGACATTTAATATGAATTATTATATTTGATAGATTTAAAAATTAATTAAAATAGATTAAAGAAAGTTACAACTTGTGCAACGTATGTATTATTAAAATAAGGTAAGTCATTAAAAGGGATTAACAAATTTGATAAATTTAATAATCAAATAAATTAGATACGTTTACATGCGCAAGAAATGTATAATCAAATATTGTAATAAGGTAAGATTTTAGCCACGATTAATTTAAATAATTTTTAATTGAATGCGGCTTTTTGGTGGGTAAATATTTAATAAACAAATATAATTTATTAATAAATAATTATAATCTATTAATCATTTTAATAAATAATTATATGTTAGTGAATTTTTAACATATTTTAGTATAAAATGTATGTGTGTGTTTTTCTAACAATCTATTTATATAAAGGATAAGTAATTATTACTAAGAAGTCATTTTAATGATTTAACATATGTTTTTAACAGTTATTACTAACAATATGTTTTTAACATATTTTAGTATAAAATGTATGTGTGTGTTTTTCTTACCATGATAAGAAATCACATACAATTTAGGTTTATGAAAATATATTATCGCATGTTGAAAGACAAAATTATATTTTATAAATACAAATATAATTTATTCGTATATATATTTCAGAAGACATAGCTACATGTTTTTTTTAAGTGTGACGAGCTAAAATATTTAATGCGTATTTAATGAATTAAATAGAGAAATGATCGCAAAAGGATGTTCTTTGAATCGAGAAAACACAAAAGGTAAGTATTTAAATGGATTTCCTTTTTAGTAGTATCGATGGTAAAAATAAATCAAAAAATAAATTCTAAAAAATCAACCAATAGAATCGCTAGAATTCTTCTGAGAAGGGTTGTGTGAGTGCCACGTGTCAAAGTGACTTCTCTTTTAATGTATAGGGGGGTGCTATATATTGTCTAGAATATCTGATCTTATAAATCTCGAGAGATGAAAATTGTTCTGAGCGCTAAGAGCCGTATCACATCAAAGAAACTACTCAGCACCTGCGCATTGAAGCTTCAAAACACGCATAACCACCAACAATAAAAGAGATTTCAGAAGAATTCTATTTTAATATACTACCTCCGTTCCAGTTCCCGAAAGTAAAATTTTCATAGTTTAATTTATAATAAATATTAAGAAATATAATAAATATTCATAGTTTAATTTATTGTTTGTTTTTATCCACTTTTTTAATAACTATCCACCAATAAAATTTAATCAATTCAAATAAAATTTAATCAATTCAAATATTCATAATTAATGTTTCTCAAAAGTATACAAAAGTATTTTATATATTTTTATGAAACAAAAAAATAAATCCAGAAATCCTACTTTCAGGAATGGAGGAGGTAGTAATGGATTGCTTTACCAATAATAGTATTAATTAATAAGTATCAATTTGATAAAAAAAATGATGTGAACTTTTGAATCAATTAATATAATTTGATGTTAATATTTGTAAACCTTATCATATACTTCTAATAGAGGAGAAGCTAAGGCATGTTTACTTGCACCACAAGACTGTCACTCGAGTCCTTGACTAATCTTGTCAATCAGCTATTTCTTTCTATTTTCTGATTCCTATAATAAGATTGACAACATAAGAAGACATCGATATGACTAAATTAGTTTTATATGAGGCTGGCTCTATGATGCTTGACCAGTTCTTATAGTTCCGGTTGTTGTCCGGCATTTGGCAAATGCTTCCAATTTCAAGTTAAACCGGGACGGTTATTGTTAAATTAATTCTCGGTTCAACTAAACCGATTCCGGTCGAGGGTTTACTAAAAACCCCTAACTACCCTATTTTGCGCCGTCGCTCAATTAAAACCCTAACGACCACCACTGAAGTAGTTAGAGAAAAGATGAGACCACCCGGGTTCAGGGGAAGAGGAGGAAGATTTGGTGGTGGTGGAGGTCGATTTGGTGGGTATAGTGACGAAGGGGCTCCTGAAGTGACCAAATTCACATCTTTCTTTTCTCAAAAAAAAAAAAACAAAAAAAAAATTCACATCTTTCGATAAAAAAAAACTCAACTAATTGTCTCTTTCTGTCATTGTCTGATATTTTCTCAAGTAATTTAAAGTATTGTAGCAACTTATAGAATGTTCTGATGACTTTATAATGAGAAACTCACTTGACAATTTTTAGTTCGTTAGCTAAAAAATTGTCAAATTTAGTAAAAGTTCTTTCTACATGTGAAAGTAGTATACGTGTACCAGGAAAGAAAACTTGCAAACCAGAGTTTTATCTTTTCATTTATATCTTTTAATTAGATGATGTAAATATTACAAGTAAAGATTGACGCATTAGAAGACTCCAGAAGTTAATGTGGCCTACTCACACAGCTCAATGGCTGATGTTTTCTTATGTCCAGAATATATAGATACAAAAAAATATTACTTGAGAAAAATCATATACAAGAAAAGAAAATGGAAATGGAGTGGCTTCCTGATGACAAGTTATGCTACGTCTGCCTCTTAAATCTTTGATTGCATGCAGTTGCGTCTGGAGGAAACTAAAGACTGTTATCTGTAATGAATACTTCAAAAGGTGTTACTTGCTACGCTCCATGACAAGACCCATGGATCCAACTCCAGATTCGTTGTTTCACACTGCTTGTCAAAAAGAGAATCATTTAGTAGAATGGACGAGGTCTGCACCCACCCGAGGCGTGGTCTGCCTTCAATCATCAACTAGGTTTGTGCTATGCAATCCCATTTTCCCGAAGGTGTTTTCTGGTATACGATGAAGCTACTGGTGTTGGTGTATTCAAGGTGTTATGGCCAAGGCTTTATACTAAACCTCTAGTTTACACGGTAAGCTCGGGTGGTGAAGGGTCTTGGAGACCGATCGCATGTGAGCCTCCTCATATTGCAGTATTCTATTGTGCAAGGAGGAGTTTTATACTATTTAGCTACAGACCTTTCATGTCTTAGATTTATAGTCATGTGCTTCAACGTGAATTCTGAAACGTTTGATTACAATCAATTGCCTGAGGGAGTCATACTTTGTAAGGATTCCACAATGGTGAACTATAACGGGAAAGTTGCCTTGGAGAATAATAAATCAGAGACAGGAAAGTTTGAGATTTGTGTTAGGAACCAAGTTTCAGGAGAATGGGAGTTACAGCGAGTTGTGATTACTGATTGGAGAGCCAATGTTGGGAGCGATCATATGATGTTTTCTTTCGTAGGTACCATTGGAACAGGAGAACTTGTTTTCACAGCACCAGACTCGTTGCATGATGGATCAGAGTATGTCTTGCATTACACTACAGACCCACCACAAGAAAAGAAGAAATTCAAAATGTTTAGGGTGGAAGCTGTGAATGGAGGTTCGTATCACTATGTTCGAGCCTGCTTGAATCATTTCGATTCTCGTTTTCCTATTAACTAAGGAGGAACAAACAGTATCGTTTGATTTATCTCTAAGTTTCTCAAAATAATAATAAATTAAATATGGTAGTTTTATTTGGACTGTTTGTTATTCAGTCTTTCAAATAATTATATAAAGTAGTATAGCAGTCTTAATGGTTTGTTTTCATTTCTATTGTCATTGCTCTAATTTGTTATGTTTGATGAATATTCTTCTTGTTCTATCAGTTTATGACCTTTATTTTATGTGCTCTTGCATCTATCAAATTCTGTTATTATGTACCAAACTAAGAGTTATCAATTTTCAACTTTCTTGATTGTTCTTAGTTCATTGGCTAACAATTTTAGTAAGTTTTCTCTATATGTGACAGTGAAACTCTTGTATGAAAATCTTTACAAGAGTTTCATCTGCTCTTTTAGCTCATTGGCTAACAATTTTATTAAATTTTTTTTTCTATATGTGAAAGTGAAAACCTTTACAAAAGTTTCATCTATTCTTTTAGCTCACTGGCTAACAATTTTGGTATCCTAGCTACTTCATCTACGTGTAATTGTTATAATGAAACATATAAATCTGCTAAGGCTTTACATATTTGCCTCAAAGTTCTTTATATAAAAATTAAATTCTTATTGACCTGATCAAAGACGAAGCAATGCAGTAACGATGAATCATTCTATATATAATGACCAATGACTAAAATCTTTACAAGAGTTTCATCTGCTCTTTTAGCTCATTGGCTAACAATTTTAGCATCCTAGCGCTACTTCAACATGTAATTGTTATAATGAAACACTAGATTTTGACCCGCCCTCTAAAGGGCGGGTATATTTTTGTTTTATAATTTTGACTTTTTATTTAGTTTTGGTCCATATATTTTATAATTTATATTTTTTAGAAATTTATTTCTCATATTTATATTTTTAATCCTATTTGTGTTTTCTTTGTAATCATATTAAAATAATTGGACTAAACCTATGTCAATAAATCATATATCTATTTTAATAGAATAAATATTAATTATTAATAGCATATTAATACTATCAGTTAACTATAATAAAAATGATTAATATGGTTCGGTTATATAAAAAGTTACAGCTATGTATATTGCCAATGAATAATTATTAATAAATATAATTGTTGACTATATATTGGAGAGAAGTGGATGACGTCGTGACAAAAAAAAAGAAGAGAAGTGGATGACAGACAGTTTTGATGTTAAAGTGAAGGTTACAAAATATATTGATCAGTTATATGCAGTTAAAATTAGATTAATTTTTAAAAATAGGTCTAATGGCAATTAAAGTAATATTCCAGGGTAAAGTGAGGGTAATTATTAGCAATGATCCTGTTTTAATAAATTAGATATAAATCTGCTAAGGCTTTACATCTTTGCCTCAAAATTCTTTATATAAAAAAATCGTATTGGCCTCAAAGACGAAGCAATGCGTAAGGATGAACCAGTCTATATATATTGACAAATGAGTACGGACTAGTATACAACCAAAACAAGTTACAACCAAAACAAGTTAATAGATGACAGAACAACACGAACACCAACCATCACCGATCTCTACGTTTGAAAGAGAGTTCTTCACTGAATGGTTTCCGTGGCAAGATAATATATATTTTGTGAGACGTCCACAGTTCATGTGAGTCCTTGTGTTACATACATGACACGTGTGCGTAAGTGAAGTACGCAATACAGATGTTTGATGAAAGAAAATCTTTCATGGTATCACTTCCATCGTTTTTTTTTTTCTTCTGTACAAAGTATCATAAGAACCCATACAAAAGACTTCTCAAACAAAAACTATATTGTTAAGTTAATGTTAATCATTTATGCAATTAATATTTAGCTAAAACGAAAAACATTGTCATTCATGGAGGGACATTTGTCCCAAAGCTTACTCAGAAATATCTAAAGAATTTTAATTTGATAACTCATCCATCTCGTTTTCTCTCCATTTTCTATGTTTTCTTATTTTTATGATGAGAAACTTTATTGATAACTTTCCAATGGAGAGTAATCTTATAGAAGTTCAATGGCTAAAAATTTTAGTAATTGTTTTCTACATGTGAAAGTGAAAACTCTACAAAATTGTATATATATATATATATATATTCTTTAAACACATTGGCTAACAATTTTGGTAAAGCTGTTTCTACATGTGAAAGTGAATATCTACCACTCTAAAGAAAAATGAACGCGTTAGAGAGAACTCGTTGGCTAACAGTTTTAGTAAGTTCTTTCTACATGTGAAAGTGACTCTCTACAAACTTGTAAAAACTAACTACGTGTGAACTATGAGTCAATGACATTTTACAATCTCTCATTTTGTTTATTGACTCCGAGCTTTTTAATGATGTAAAATAGTAATTGAGTGTTAAATGATTTTTACAAGTGTGCAACAACCGATGTGTAAAGTTTGAGTGCGTGATCGTTTCGTTGAAACTAGTCCAAAATTCAATTAACACAATATTCTCCTCTCCTTGGGTGAAGACTTGCCGTTGCTCGACGTTTCACCTAATTGCCATCAACTAACAGAATGCATCTAACAGTGGTCACAAAATTATCGTTCTTAAGATTTTTAGCTAATTGTCATCAATTAATACGATGCAACTAACACCTATTTTTGGGGTATGTAGTTACTGTCTCTTTCAACTATGTCACTGTAAAGTGTAGAGAACGTTAAGCAAAAAGAAAAAAAGAAGTGTAATGCGTTATTAAGTTTACTCAAAGAGAGAAATTTAAACCTATAAAAACCCCTAAGACTGAGGCCTGAAAAGAAGCAAAAACAAACTTAATTCTCAAAATGGAGCGTGGTGAGAATTCGAGAAACAGAAATCAGACTGTATTCAGGATTAGGGCTGTCCAGAGGAGGCCAGAAAACAGAGCTCCTCCTGGGTTTGGAAATAAGCGAAACTTGGTTCTTTATGATTTCGAGAATTATGGGGTCGATATAAGCCTCGCACGAACCCTAGGTCCGCAAATGAGAGCTTTCATGAACGCACATGGTTACGACGGAGAGGTTAAGATCCATGCTATCGTTGGTGGCTTGAAGGAGGTTGATAGGGATCTTCCCGGTTTGCTCAAGGAAGGGGGAATAAGCTTTCGACAAGCAGTTTCGAAGAAGAAGGACGCCGCAGATGATAAACTCAAGAAGCTTTTTGATAAATACAAGAAAGAAGAAGAAAAAGCTGGTAGAGAGCCAGGTACAATCGTTATGATATCATCCGACAAAGGATTTGGAAAAGAGATGGAAGAAGCGAAGGAAGAAGGGTACAACGTGATGTTGGTTTACGATCCGGAACAGCACACGCCTGGCGATTCGGAGTATCTCAAAAAGGGAAGTTCGTCCTGTCCGTTTGATGATTTTATATCTAAGAACCGACCTTACATAAACTAAGTTCGTTTGTTATAAGTACCAATTATAAATGGGCTAATATCTAATCTAAGTTTGTGTGTGTGTGTGTGGGTATGGCGAATCTAATCTTTAATTAAATAAAGACATTTTATGTATTTAATGAAATATCTCATATCTTGTCCCTTGGATGAAGTGGTTGTATTTCTGTATGTGTTGTGTTTTTGTTATCAACATTAACCAGCAGCATATCATAAATCACATGACTCTACAACAACATTACAAATTACAAAAGACAAAC